ATAAGAGTTTGAATTGGGTGTAGATGGAGTGGTGAAATTTAAGATCTATGTGTAACTAGTGAACTTATGCTTAAGCAGTTGATCCTTGAGAGACTCATAGAAGTAAAACTAATATTATGCCAGATACCTTGATTGTGATGATCATTGATTTATCATTTTTGATGATTTAAGGGTTGGATTTGATTGAAGAATTTAGCTTGATGAGCTTGATGTACTTCCACTTGGATGCACATGGATTCTTCACTCCTTTTCGGATTTCCTTAGATGATTCTTCAAGGAATTGAGATGCCTCAAAGGAGCAAGGTGACCTAGGCTTGCATTCAAGCTAAGTCCAAAGAAGATAAGATGTTCTAGCTCTACAAGGAGAAGCTCTCAAGTAGGGTAGAAGCTAGAAGCAAAGGTGACTTCGGAGAAGAGAATTCTTTGAGAGAAATGCTCATTCAATAATATCCAAAGTTTTGAGAGGAATGCTCATTCAATAATTTCCAAAGTATCACAATACTCGGCCAAGGGATGATTTATAGGTAAAATTAGGTTAAGGGTTTAAGTTGGGTTCACCTAGAGTTAAGTAAAACCATGGTATGGTTAACTTAACTCTAGGCGCCAAAATTTGAATTCTAAAATTCAAATTTTGGTGCCAACCGGCCACCCCCCCATGTGCACTCATTTGGCATGTAATTAGGAAGCCATTTGAGTTGCATTTCGGATCACACCTTGTGCATGTGTAGCACATGGCCGAAATGCACTCCAAATGTGCTTCTAATTACATGCTAATGTAGATTCACATGTAACCTAAATAACCCTAAATTCACATGACCTCTAAATGAAGTTCCTACACTATAAGGCCGGAAATACAAGGCCCCAAAGGAAATTACAAGGCACTAAAGCCCAATCCTATGCTAACCGTAATCTAATGGGCTTGAGACAAAGCCCAACAAAATAAAGTGGTGGGCTTTCCTTGGGCTTGGGCCCACTCTTCATGCATCATCCTTGCCATTGCCCTAGTAGTTGGGCCCTTAGCCCATGGGCCTCCTCCATCAGTGAGCTTACCTTAGGAGCATGGAATTGGGTATATTGAAAGTGACTAGTGAGTTAATGGATGAGATTAGATAAACCAAGAGTCAGATCCTTTCTAAGTGAACCAAGTGGAGAAGATTGGTAGGGGTATAAATAACTTTTTCTAAGTAGGAATTGACATTATTTTGAGGTGCAAAGAAAAACATTTGGGTGCCTAGTGATCTTGAATTAATGTGACACCCTCTACCCCAACATTAATACACAATAAATGTAAAAAAAAAAAATTTTCCCTTTTCTTTTTGAGTAAATAAAATCTTTCATAGTTGACAACATCTTTCATGGATAAAACAAATGTCTCAATTATCATCAGGTAGAAGATTCACACTCATAACTCATAAATCATAACTCCAATGTAGGAATTACAAAAGAAAAGAAATTAAGGTTTTCAATACAATTTAATGAAAACAAGAAATCATATATATATATATATATATATAAATAATAATAAAGGAAATATAGATTAATTCCAGTAAAGGTGCAAGTGTCTCCTGGTTAGGAATTAATTTATAACTTCCAAATCATGTAATAAAAAAAAATATGACAAAGATGCACATTTTGGTCTTTTATCAAGAACGTTCAAAATTACAATTCTCAACATACATTCTCCTTGGATTCAATCACTGCAATTATACACTTCATCTAGGTTATACCTTCGCTATAAATTACAAAAGAAAAGAAAACTAAGGCTTTTAAAACATTAACATCCTAAACTAAGCCTAGCTATGCCCGATGTCACATCCTATCAGAGCATGCCCAACTGAAGCCTTAAGCCTCATCACCAACATTCTCATGATGATGCTCACCTGCAACATAATTTAAACATATACAAGAACAACAAGGGAGTGAGAAACATCTCTCTCGATTCCAAGTGTAAAAATAACAGTTAGGCAACACACCAACAACTCATACAAGCACAGTCAGATTAATCAAGTGCAAATTTAAATTTCACATACAACAATAACACATGCACAATCATTCATCATGCAATGATGTCATGGACTCGACTCATAGATGCATGCATGTGGCGCCTGTAACATCCCAAAATTTTCTACTAGTATAATAGTTAATTATTGTTTATTTTTATATTTATGGAGGTTATTTTCTTATAGATATCTTAATGGGTTTTATAGAATGTTTTAAAGGTTTTTAATATTTATGAGTATTTAATAATAAATATTTATGAAAATTATTTTTGATAATATTTTGATTTTTTTTAGTAGCCCAGAATGGGTTGTTCCCAAACTGGAACGGGCCGTTCCAAACTACTAAAATGGCCTTTAAATCGTATACTGGGAACGGGTCGTTCCAATGCTGGATTTTATGAGCAATATGCGAACTCAGAACGGGTCGTTCCACTTTGGAAATGGGTCGTTCCACACATGGCCCTTGTGAGTTAAATTGTAATCCCAGAACGAGCTGTAACACCCTGAATTTTTCTACTAATACTACGAATAATTATTATTTATTTTTGTATTTATGAAGATTATTTCCTTATAATTATTTTGATTAATTAAATGGGTTTGATTGAATTTTTAAAGGTTTTTAATAATAATCATTTATGAAAATTATTTTGTATAATATTAATAATTATGATATTTTGTTATAATTATTATTTGAAGAAAATCATGTTTTAAATTGTATTGATATTTTATTTTAATTTGATATATATATATATATAATTTATTTATTTATTAATTAGTAATCATAGATTTTCATAGCCCCGGAACGGGCCGTTCCACTTTAGGAACGGGTTGTTCCAACTCGAGCATGCATGGGTAAACAGTAATTTCAGATTTTCATAGCCCCGGAACGGGCCGTTTCACTTTGGGAACAGGCCGTTCCAACTCGAGCATCATGGGTAAAATTTCAATCCAGAACGGGCCGTTCCACTTTGGGAACGGGTCGTTCCAGATGTGGTTTTAAAGAACAAAGTATTGACTCAGAACGGGCCGTTCTTGGAGAGGCTTTTGTAGATGTTCTATGGGCCCAGAACGGGCCGTTCCAGATTCGGAACGGGCCGTTCTGGCCAAATCCTGATACCTATAAATGCGTTCCGACACTCCAGAAAAACACATTTTTTCACTTTTGACCTTTTTCTTCTACACTTTTTGGAGACCAAGGGGAACCTGGCGGAGGAGATCCTGGTTCAGTTTCAACCCCTGTTCATTGAGGTAAGGGGGGAGTGAGAATCCTCGCTCTGGGTGTGGGATATGCTGGGTAGTGGGATTGGCCCCCAATCCTGTGTTTGTTGTATATCATATTTTTCTTGTATGTTCCAATTACTTAATTAATATGTGTGTATGAATAGAAACTTTGTTTAGGCTATGATTGTGGAATTTGGTGCTTCTATGGGTTCCTACGGGAAACCCTAAGGGAGTGCATTGGTGCTTGTATGAATAAATTAATTATGATAATAATTATATACGTGAATTGTCTTATTTTAAATGTTTATTGCATAAATTGGAATGCTCTATGGGTTCTTGAGAGAACCCTATGAGCAGCAGGCAAAATAAGAATATTTATTTTTTGCCTTCTGTCTATTCCTTTATATTCCCTATTAAAAGAGATGTGTGAATATGTGTTTAATTTTGAAAATAAACAAGTTTTGATATGAATTAGAGTGCTCTGTGGGTTCTTGAGAGAACCCTATGAGAAATAGACATATTTTCAATAATTTCTGTTTTACCTTCTGATTGTTCTGTTGTACTCCTTGTTGTATAAGATGTATAAATGTGTATTTAATTATGCAAATATATGAGTTTTAATACGAAATAAAGTGCTCTGTGAAGATTGTGAATGAAATGTGATAATGAAATGTGATGATGAAATGTGATGATGCGATATGACCATGGGAAATGATAATGTGATATGAGAATGCATAGAGTCTTGATTGACATGCATCATTTGCATAAATGTTTTAAGATACGATATGGAATACACCATCAGAGAATGCCCCTAGTGTAAAAGCTTTGGGGATTAGTCCTTGGGGATAGCTCTTTTTGGAAGTCCTAGTCTCACCCATTGTGTGCATCAGATATATCTTGCGCAACTTAGCTATCCCGACGAGACTCTGGTAGTATATCCTTCTACTGAGAGTGCACAAAGGGTGTGACCCGGCATATACTCCTAGACTACTATTCGTGCATTGCTAGCAGCAATATGCCATGTGATGTTTTACTGGCGCCACATGCATGATAAAATGAAGTCCGTGTCCATGCATGTGTATTCTTATTATTAAATGATGATAAATTACTATTTTTATGACTTGGATGATTGGATAAGCTATTGTTGTTGATTGATTTTTAAGGTAACTATATTGTTTGTGTTTGGCTATCTGGTGTGCGTTCCTACACCGTGAGCCAGAGCGAGATATTTATCATTCCCTTCTTTTGTGTTGTTTCCCTTGTTTGATATACAGGAGACCATCAGCAGCATGAGGCTGAGGATGTGGACGATGAAGCTTAGGCTTCTATGTGGGATTTTGCTCTGATAGACATCGGGACATAGATAGAATTAGAATATGATGTTGTTTAAGTATTATTAAAGTATATATTTTGGAAAATTTAATTTTTATTCTTTGTAATTTTATTTGCTATTTGTATTAAGTACTTGAATGTGAATTCTCTACTCACATGATTATTGGAATTGTCGTTTCAATTTAAAATATTTTTTTTTATCCAATAAGATATTTTTTATTATTATTATATATATATATATGTTGGGGTAGAGGGTGTCACACGGGCCGTTCTGGTCTAAGAACGGGCCATTCTGAATATGAAATTTTAGCATGACGAATGACTCCAGAATGGGCCGTTCCGGATTTGAAACGGGCCGTTCTAGCCACTCTTGATACCTATAAATAGAACGCTCCGGCACTCCCAAAAGTACATTTTTCACTTCTAACCTCTTTTTTCTTCTACACTCTCTAAAGACCAATGGAGAACCCAGAAGAGGGGACTAGCAAGATTTGGCTTTAGTTTCAGCTCCTGCTTATCGAGGTAAGGCGAGAGTGAGAAACCTCGCTTTGGGTGTGGGAATATATGTTGGGTAGTGGGATTGGCCCCCAATCCTATGTTTGTTGTATGCTCATGTATGAGGGGTTTTTCCCAATTATATATGTTTCTTCTATTTCTCTTCTTATATGTAAATAATTGTATGATTAGAGATCTCTGTGTGTTCTTGAGAGAACCCTATGAGAAACAGACAAAATATGAATGTTTTCTATTTTGCTATCTGATTGCTCTATTGTATTCCTTGTTGAATGTAATGTGTAAATATGTGACTAATTTTGAGAATAAATATGTTTTGATATGATTTAGAGTGCTCTATGGGTTCTTGCGGGAAACCTTATGAGAAATAGGCAAAATATGAATATTTTCTGTTTTGATTTATGATTGTTCTGTTATATTCCTTGTTTGATGAGATGTAAAAATATGTATTTAATTTTACAAATAGACGAGTTTTGATATAAATTAAAGTGCTCTGTGGAGGCTATGTGAATATGATGAGATAATGTGATATGATGATGTAATGTGAAATGTGATTGAGACATGAGATATGAAGATGTGGTAATGTAATATGATGTGAAAAGTGATAATGAGACATGATGATGTGATATGATAATGAGACATGACAATGTTATATGAGAATGCATAGAGTCTTGATTGACATGCATCATGTGCATAAATGTTTTTAAGGGTACGATAAGGAATACACTGCTAGAGAAGGCCCCCTAGTGTAAAAGCTTTGGGGATTAGTCCTTGGGGATAGCTCGGTTTGGAAGTCCCAGTCTCGCCCATTGTGTGCATGGGATGTATCGTGCACGGCTTAGCTATCCCGACGAGACTCTGGTAGTATGTCCTTCTAGTGAGAGTGCGCAAAGGGTGTGACCCGGCATGTACTCCTAGACTACTTTTCGTGTATTGCTAGCGGCAATATGCCATGTGATGTTTTACTGGCGCCACATGCATCATAATATGTAGTTTGTGTCCATACATGTGCATTTTTAATGTTATATGATAAATTGATATTTTTATGTCTTGGATGAGTGAGATGTAATGTTGTTGTTAATATCTATGTTATACCTGTCTTGTTTGTGTTTGGCTATCCGGTGTGTATTTCTACACTGAGCCAGAGTGAGATGTTTCTCACTCCTTTTTCTCTTGTGTTGTTTTCTCTAACTGTCATACAGGTTATTATCAGCATAAGGCTAAGGATGTTGGTGATGAAGCTTAGGCTTCTACGTTGAAATTTGCTCTGATAGGACATGTGACATCGGGGCATAAATAGGATTAGTTTGGGATGTTGTTTTTATTAAATTATTTTGGAAAACTTAGTTTCATTTCCTTGTAATTTCTCTACATGTTATTTGGATTAAGTTTATGAATGTGAACTATTTACCCTTATGTTGTTGGAGATTTGATTGTCTTATGTTGAAGAATTGTATTTTATTTTATTTATTTTATATAATTATTATATATGTATGTTGGGGTAGAGGATGTCACAACGCCAATCACGTGTCTCATAATCACATTTCTCATCATATCATCATGTTACGTTGTGGGTGACTAAAGGTACACCTTGTTAGCATGTTACATCGTGGGTGACCCTAAGGTACACCTTGTTAGTATGTTACGTCAAGGGTGACCCTAAGGTACACCTTGTTATCATGCTACATCACTGGTATGCGGCCTAAGCGGCACACCTGGAGTTATATATGTATATGATGCATGTCATACATTCACAATTTCATGGACTCAACATTTCACTTATCACAAAATCTCATTTATTGTCTCACATCATTATTTTTCATATTCTCATAGTCATAGCTTATCTCAATAGTCCATTTTCAAGTCTCATGTCATAATTATTCCTCATAAGGTCCATATAGGAATTCACAGAGCACTCTTATTCATATTAAAACTTATTTATTTTCAATACTAATTACATATTCATTCATCACCTCCAACAAGGAACACAGTAGAGTAATAAGAAAGTAAAACAAAACACATTCATGTTCCTAGAAATATATATCAGGCAAGGGATTGGGGGCCAATTCGACTACCCAACAATTATTTCCACACCCCCGAGCGAGGTTTCTCACTCGCCCCTTACCTCGATAAGCAAGAGCTTAAACTAGAGCAGAACCTTGCTAATCTCCTCCTCTGGATTCCCTCTTTCTTTCCCTTTCTTTCTCTCTCTCTCTCTCTCTCTCTTTCTCTCTCTAAGTTTTCACCCTTGGTCAGTAATAATTTTTCCACAGCCCGTCCCTCCTATTTATAGGCATTCAGGGGTACCCGGAACGGGCCATTCTGAATCCGAAACGGCCCGTTCTGGAGCCATTCATGCAAAATTTACAACTGGAACGGCCCGTTCTCAAAATCAGAACGGTCCGTTCTCAAAATTAGAACGGCCCGTTATAGGGTTCATTTTAACACACATTGACCATAATTGGAATGGCCCGTTTCCAACTAAGAATTTTAGGCCATTTTATTACCCTGACTTTTTGGAACGCCCGTTCTGCTTTTGGAAATAGCCCATTCCGCTTTTTGGAACGACCTGTACTAGGCCTAAAAAAACCAGAATTTTATATAAAAATTAATTTTTTATAAATATTTAAATTATTTAAAAGAAATCTCTAAAATGTTCTATAAAATCCCTTTAATTAATTAAAATAACTATAAAAAAAATAAGCTCTATAGAAATAATAATAATTAACTATGTAGAAAATTCGGGATGATACAATTCTCCCTTCCTTTTAGAAATTTCGTCCCTGAAATTTACCTGAAAATAGAAATGGATAAGCTTCTCGCATCTTGCTTTCTAATTCCCATGTAACACTTTCTTCAATATTTCCTCCCCGAATGACCTTAAGCAAAGAGATTTCCTTTCCTCTCAGTTGTTTCACCCTCATGTCATCAATCCTCAAAGGAACCGTTTCATAGGTAAGAATATCCTTCAATTGAATGTTGTCAGACTCAATGATATGGAAAGGATCATGGACATACTTTTTGAGTTGGGAAACATGAAAGACACTATGGAGATTTGAAAGAGATGGAGGCAAGGCAATTTGTTAAGTTACTTCACCGATCCTTTTAAGAACTTGATAAGGACCGATGAAACGTGGAGTAAGCTTACGGGATTTCAGTGCTCTGCCTACTCCTGTCCAAGGAGTGACTTTAAGGAATACATGATCACCTTCTTTAAACTCAAGGTCTTTTCTCCTCTTGCCATTATAACTCTTTTGCCTACTCTGGGTTGCTCTCATCCTCTCTTGGATCATCTTAACCTGTTCAGTAGTTTGTTGAACTATCTCAGGTCCTAACATGCTATTCTCTCCAGGTTCTGTCCAACATAAAGGTGTTCTACATCTCCTACCATACAGAGCCTCATATGGTGCCATCCCAATACTAGAATGGTAGCTATTATTGTAGGTAAATTCTATCAAAGGTAGGAAACTATCCCAACTACCCCCACGTTCTAAGATGCAAGCCCTCAACAAGTCTTCCAAAGATTGTATGGTTCTCTCAGTTTGGCCATCTGTTTGGGGATGGTAAGCTGAACTCAATCTAAGCTTAGTGCCTAAAGCCTTATGCAAACTCTCCCAAAATCTAGAGGTGAACCTAGGATCTCTATCAGACACAATACTAGTAGGAACTCCATGCAACCTCACGATCTCACTGATGTACAACTTGGTTAACCTCTCCAAAGAGTACCTAATATTAATGGGAATAAAATGGGCAGACTTAGTCAATCTATCCACAATGACCCATATAGCATCCAAGTTCTTCACAGTCTTAGGTAACCCAACTACAAAATCCATAGAGATGCTATCCCACTTCCACACAGGCACATCTAAAGGTTGCATCAAACCTGAAGGTTTTTGGTGTTCTACCTTAGCTTTCTGACATACTAAGCAAGCATACACAAATTCCTCCACTTCCCTCTTCATCTTAGGCCACCAAAACATCTTCTTAAGGTCTTGGTACATCTTAGAGGCTCCTAGATGGATACTAAGGCTACTCTTATGACTTTCTCCTAGGATTTCTCTCTTAAGCTCTAGCAAACTAGGAATGCACAACCTATCCTTAAATCTCAACACTCCATCCACTCCAAATCTAAACTCACTCTCTATACCTTGATTCAACTTCTCTACTTGACTCAATAAGAAAGGATCTATCTTCTGACCTTCTCTAATCTCATCTATCAAACTATTAGTCACTCTCAAGGCTCCCAACTTAATACTCTTAGAGGTCAACTCACACCCTAAGCTCATATCTCTAAACTCCTCAATCATAAGCAATTCCCTAATCATTAAAGAAGACACTCTCAAAGATTTTCTACTTAAAGCGTCAGCTACAACATTAGCCTTGTTGAGGTGATAATTCAATTGAAATTCATAATCCTTAAGGAACTCTAACCATCTCCTCTGCCTCATATTCAATTTCTTTTGGTCTAACAAGTACTTAAGACTTTTATGGTCACTAAAAACCTCAAATCTAGACCCAAACAAGTAATGTCTCCATAATTTAAGTACAAATACTATTGTAGCTAACTCAAGGTCATGGGTAGGATAGTTTTGCTCATGAATTTTAAGTTGTCTAGAAGCATAGGCTACTACCTTACCCTCTTACATAAGCACTCCTCCTAAACCCAATTTAGAAGCATCACAAAATAACTCAAAAGTCTTACTAGGGTAAGGTAACACTAACACAAGGGCACTAGTTAATCTTCTGTTAAGCTCTTGAAAGTTTTCCTCACACCTAGAAACCCACACAAAAGGTTGGTCCTTCTTCGTCAGCTTAGTCAAAGGAAGAACTATCCTAGAGAAATTCTCTATGAACCTTCTATAATAACCGACTAGTCCTAGGAAGCTCCTAATCTCAAATACTGATTTAGGTGTACTCCACTCTAACACAGCTTGTACCCTAGCAGGATCTACAGCTATCCCAACCTTGGATATCACATGTCCTAGAAAGTTCACCTTATCCAACCAAAATTCACATTTTGCCAATTTAGCATACAACTGCTTCTCCTTAAGGGTTTGAAGAACGATCCTAAGGTTCTCAACATGCTCCTCCCTAGTCTTGGAATACACTAGGATATCATCTATGAAGACCACTACAAATCTATCCAAGTAAGGGTGAAAGATCCTATTCATGTAGTCCATAAAAACACCAGGTGCATTAGTAACACCAAAAGGCATAACTAAATACTCATAGTGCCCATAACGGGTCCTAAAGCCAGTCTTAGGAACATCTTCAGCTCTCACTCTAATCTGATGGTATCCTGACCTTAAATCTATCTTACTGAACACACAAGCTCCAACTAGTTGATCCATAAGGTCATCTATCCTAGGCAAAGGATACTTATTCTTAATGGTCACTTTATTCAGTTGCCTATAGCCTATGCACAACCTCATGCTCCCATCTTTCTTCTTAACCAATAAAATAGGAGATCCCCAAGGCGAGACACTAGGCCTAATGAATTGTTTCCCTTGCAGTTCCTCTATTTGTTTCTTAAGCTCAACTAACTCTTTAGGGGACATCCTATAGGGTGCTATAGATATAGGTGAGGTACCTGGTACTAAGTCTATGCTAAACTCAATCTCTCTCTCAGGTGGTAAACTAGACACATCCTTAGGGAATACTTCTGGAAATTCTCTCACTAAGGGAATCTCATCTAGCTTACTATCAGTCTCAAGTGTTAAGGAAGCGAAGATCATGTACACTCTTTCATTTTCTTTTAAACAAGTTTTAATGTCGGTAGCACTAAGAAATTTCGTACTCTTACATTCACCAAAGGAAATAGATTTATCAAAGCAGTTTAAAAGGACATGGTGGGAAGATAACCAATCCATACCAAGAATTACATCTAATTGACTACGAGGCAAAAAAATTAAGTCAACTAGAAACTGCTTATCAGAAACTGTCAAAGGACTTTCAAACACACTAGGGATGTAGTCACAGGACCATTAGTATGGGTTTCAACAACTAAATCAAAATCTAACAGAGACACATGCAAATTCAATTTTTGGACACAAGAAACAGAAATAAAGGAATGAGTTGCACCAGAATCAAACAGTAAAACAAAAGGAGTCTCAGTTATGAAACAAGTACCTTGTATTAGATTTTCTGACCAAGTAGCTTCAGCACCACTAAGAGCAAATACTCTCCCTACAGTCTTTGGACGCTCAATTTGTGAACCCGATCCAATAACACGTGTTCTTGGTGGTTCAGGACATTGGGTGCTGATGTGACCCTTACCACTGCAATTAAAGCAGGTAACCTCTTTGTCACGACACTCAGACTGATTATGACCAACACGCCCACACTTTCTGCATCTTCTGGAAGGAGTGGACATAGACCCTCCAACACTTCTAGTAGCACTAACAATGGATCCTCTAGTAAATGACTTGCTTCCACTAGCAGCAACTTTACTCCCTTGAAATCTACTAGGAGCGGAGTAAGGCTTATTCCTACCCATAGTACTAGAGATCACAACACAAATAGGACCTCCAACTCCTTTATAAAAAGCAGCACGAGCACAGTTGTCACGATCATAAATGCTGCACTTATTGACCAAAGTAGGGAAGTGATATATCTCCTAATAATTAATTGCAGTCTTCACCTTAGGACGTAGACCATTTAGAAATTTTATGCATTTAGCTCTTTCACCACCCTTACCATGGTAGTGTGTACAATAACGAATCAAAACATCAAATTTGGCATCATACTCTGCCGCTGTGTCGTTCCCTTGATTCAGTTCAAGGAATTCCATTTCTTTCCGACTCCTCACATCATCCGGGAAATACTTCTCAAGAAAGACCTTCTTGAAGTTGTCCCAATTCAAGTGCACCCCTCCATCAATCAGCCGCCTAATGTCTCCTTCTCACCAAGATTTATCAGCATCAGGCAACATTAATGTGGCCAACTTCACCTTCTAAGCGAGGGGACAATCCATGACAATGAAGATCTTCTCGATCTCCGTTAGCCAATTCATAGAAGCATCTGGGTCATATCCTCCTTTAAAGGTAGGTGGGTGATTTTGCTGAAATTGCTCCAACCAGTTAGGAGCGACTCCAACCCTATTATTATTATTCATAGCTTGTGCTAATGCCTGAAGAGCATCAGCAATCGCACGATCATTTCTACCAGCCATAATATAAGAAAATAGTACAATTAATAAACCCTAATAAGTTCCACAATCAATTCAGTCCATCATTCATCTACCAAACAAGCATAGTAAACTTATAACTCACGATCGATTGGATCAACCAGCTCTGATACCACTAAATGTGATACCCTCTACCCCAACATTAATACACAATAAATGTAAACACTTTTTTTTCCTTTTTCTTTTTGAGTAAATAAAATCTTTCATAGTTGACAACATCATTCATGGATAAAACAAATGTCTCAATTATCATAAGGTAGAAGATTCACATTCATAATTCATAAATCATAACACCAATGTAGAAATTACAAAAGAAAAGAAATTAAGTTTTTCAATACAATTTAATGAAAACAAGAAATCATATATATATAAAAATAATAATAAAGGAAATATAGATTAATTCCAGTAAAGGTGGCAGTGCCTCCTAGTTAGCAATTAATTTATAACTTCCAAATGATGTAATAAAAAAAATATGACAAAGATGCATATTTTGGTCTTTTATCAAGAACGTTCAAAATTACAATTCTCAACATACATTCTCCTTGGATTCAATCACTGCAATTATAGACTTCATCTACGTTAAAAAGAAAACTAAGGCTTTTAAAACATTAACATCCTAAACTAAGCCTAGCTAGGCCCGATGTCACATCCTATCAGAGCATGCCCAACTGAAGCCTTAAGCCTCATCGCCAACATTCTCATGATGATGATGACCTGCAACATAATTTAAACATAAAAAAGAAAAACAAGGGAGTGAGAAACATCTCACTCGATTCCAAGTGTAGAAATAACAGTTAGGCAACACACACACAACTCATACAAGCACAATCACATTAATCAAGTACAAATTCAAATTTCACATACAATAATAACACATGCACAGTCATTCATCATGCAATGATGTCATGGACTCGAGTCATAGATGCATGCATGTGGCGCCAATCACGTGTCTCATAATCACATTTCTCATCATATCATCATGTTACGTCATGGGTGACTGAAGGTACACCTTGTTAGCATGTTACATCGTGGGTGACTCAAGGTACACCTTGTTAGCATGTTACGCCGTAGGTGACCCTAAGGTACACCTTGTTAGCATGTAACGTCATGGGTGACCCTAAGGTACACCTTGTTAGCATGTTACATCACTGGTATGCGGCCTAAGCGGCACACCTGGAGTTATATATGTATATGATGCATGTCATACAGTCAAAATTTCATGGACTCAACATTTCACTTATCACGAAATCTCATTTATTGCCTCACATCATTATTTTTCACATTCTCATAGTCATAGCTTATCTTAATAGTCTATTTTCAAGTCTCATGTCATTTGTTCATATTTTACATAGTCATGTCATAATTATTCCTCATAAGGTCCACACAGGAATTCATAGAGCACTCTTATTTATATTAAAACTTATTTATTTTCAATATTAATTACATATTCATTCATCACTTCCAACAAGGAACACAGTAGAGAAATCATAAAGTAAAACAGAACACATTCATGTTCCTAGAAACTTACATCAGGCAAGGAATTGGGGGCCAATCCGACTACCCAACAATTATTCCCATACCGCCAAGCGAGGTTTCTCACTCCCCCCTTACCTCGATAAGCAGGAGCTAAAACTAGAGCAGAACCTTGCTAATCTCCTCCTCTGGATTCCCTATTTCTTTCTCTTTCTTTCTCTCTCTCTTTCTCTTTCTCTCTCTAAGTTTTCACCCTTGGTCAGTTATAATTTTTTCACAGCCCCTCCCTCCTATTTATAGGCATTCGGGGGTACCCGGAACGACCCGTTCTGAATCCGAAACGGCCCGTTCTGAAGCCATTTGTTTTATGCAAAATTTACAACTGGAATAATCCGTTCTTAAAATCAGAATGGCCTGTTTTCAAAATCTGAACGGCCCGTTCTAGGGTTTGTTTTAACACACATTGACCATAATTATAACGGCTCATTTCCAACTAAGAATTTTAGGACATTTTATTACCCTGGAACGGCCTGTTCCACTTTTTGGAACGTCCGTTCTGCTTTTGGGAACAGCCCGTTCTGCTTTTTGGAACGGTCCGATCTAGGCCTAAAAAACCCAGAATTTCATATAAAAATTAATTTTTATAAATATTTAAATTATTTAAAAAAATCTCTAAAATGTTCTATAAAATCCCTTTAATTAATTAAAATAACTATAAGAAAATAAGCTCTATAAAAATAATAATAATTAACTATGTAGAAAATTCAGGATGTTATAATTAAGGAAGATGATCTTAGAAGAGGGACATAAGAATACTCTTAGCATTCATTTAGGAGCTACTAAGATGTATCAAAGTAGCTCAGCGGAAGCGGAGTGGCCTAAGGTGAATAGAGGAGTAGAGGAATTTGTGTACTCGTGTATAACATGCTAGAAGTCTTTAGGACTTTTGCAGCCTTTAGACGTCCCATTTTGGAAGTGAGATAGTGTGTAGATAAACCTCTGTTGTAGGCTTGCCTAAGATGATTACGAAATTTGATTCTTTTTTGGGTTATAGTGGATAGACTCACCAAGTTTACTTGCCTTACCCTCGTTGATAATAGATATTCCTTGGTGAAATTGTTAGAATTGTATATCAATAAGGTGATGACGTTGCATGGGAATTAGAAAGCAAGACTTGAGGAGTCTACCCATTTATGTTTTCAGGTGAATTTCGGGGACGAAATTTTTAAAAGGAGGGGAGTATTGTTGTGACACCCTTTACCCCAACATTAATACACAATAAATGTAAACAATAATTTTTTTTCTTTTTGAGTAAATAAAATCTATCATAGTTTGACAACATCGTTTATGGATTAAACAATTGTCTCAAATATCATAAGGTAGAAGATTCATATTCGTAACTCATAAATCCTAAAAATTCAACTTGTAAGTATCAAAAGTCAAGAAATCATATAAAGGAAAATATAGATTAATTCTAGCAAAGGTGGCACAGTGCCTCCTAGTTAGGAATTAATTTATAACTTCCAAATCATGTAATAAAAATAATATGACAAAGATGCACATTTTGGTCTTTTATCAAGAACGTTCGAAATTACAAAAGAAAAGAAGACTAAGGCTTTTAAAATAATAACATCCTAAACTATGCCTAGCTTACCCGATGTCACATCCTATCAGAGCATGCCCAACTGAAGCCTTAAGCCTCATCACCAATATCCTCATGATGATGATCACCTGCAACATAAATTAAACATATACAAGAACAACAAGGGAGTGAGAAACATCTCACTTAGTTTCAGGAGCAAAAATAAAGGTTAGATAGCACACACAACAATCATAAGTCATAAACATTAATCACATATAAACAATACCCATACATGATCAGTATCACATGTACACTCATTTATCATGCTATGATGTCATGGACTCGACTCATAAATGCATGCATGTGGCGCCATACGGAAGTTTCACATTTCATCACTGGTGACCCTAAGGTACACCTTGTTAGCTGGTTACATCACTGGTATGCGGCCTCAGCGGCATACCTAGAGTTATATATGTATATGATGCATGTCATACATTCATTATTTCATTGACTCAACATTTGACTTATTACAGAATTTCATTTAGTACATCATGTCATCATTTTTCATATTTTCATAATCATAGCTTGTCTCAATAGTCCATTCTTATGTCTCATGTCATTTGTGCATATTTCACATAGTCATTTCATAATTATTCCTCATAAGGTCCGCACAAGAATCCACAGAGAGCATTCTTATTCATATTAAAACTTATTTATTTTTAACATTAATTACATATTCATTTATTATTTCCAACAAGGAACAAAGTAGAGCAAACAGAAAATAAAATAGAACACATTAATACTTTGCATATTCCTAGAAGCATGCAACAGGCAAGGGATTGGGGGCCAATCTGACAATCAGACTATCCAACAATTATTCTCACACCCCCGAGCGAGGTTTCTCACTCCCCCCTTACCTCGATAAACAGGAGCTGAAACTAGAGAAGAACCTTGCTAATCTCCTCCTTTGGGTTCCCTCTTTCTTTTTCCCTCTTTCTATCTCTTTCTCTCTCTTTCTTTCTTTTTCTCTCTCTTTCTTTCTTTTTCTCTCTCTTTTTCTCTCTCTTTCTCTCTCTAAGTTTTCACCTTTTTAGTTATATTTTTTCACAGCCCCTCCCTCCTATTTATAAGCATTCAAGGGTACCTGGAACGGCCCGTTCTAAATTCTGAACGACCCATTCTGGAGCCATTCATTATATGCAAAATTTACAACTGGAACGACCCGTTCTAAAATCAAAACGGCCCATTTTCAAAAATTAGAACGACCCGTTCTCAAATTAGAACGACCCGTTCTGGGGTTCATTTTAACACACATTGACCATAATTGGAACGACCCGTTTCTAACTTGGATTTTTAGGCATTTTTAGAATCTTGGAATGGCCCGTTTCACTTTGGAAATGGCCCGTTCTAGAATAACCCATATGGGCCTCTTCACTAATTTGGAACGGCCCGTTCCACTTTTGGAATGACCCATTCTGCTACTTCAAAAATAGCTTATTTTCGTCGTTTGGAACGACCCGTTCCACTTTTTGGAACAACCCGTTCTAGCCTAAAAAAAATAATATTTTATTTAAAAATTTTCATAAATAATTTAAATTATTACAAACCTTTACAATATTTTATAAAAACCCATTAATTAACTAAAATAAGTATAAAAAATTAATCTTCATAAATATAAAAATAAATAATAATTAATATTGTATTAGTAGAAAATTCAAGGTGTTACAATTCTCCCCTCCTTTTAGAAATTTCGTCCCCGAAATTTAGCTAAAAATAAAAATGGATAAGTTTCTCGCATCTTGCTTTCTAATTCCCATGTAGCACTTTCTTCAAAATTTCCTCCCCAAACGACCTTAACCAAAGGGATTTCCTTTCCTCTCAGTTGTTTCACCCTCGTGTCATCAATCCTTAAAGGAATTGTTTCATAGGT